TATGCAAGGTGGCAGGATAGCTTATTCTTCCGCCAAATAACATTGCAGTGCAAGATTGAAAAAAATAATGTTGATGCAAGTTTATTGAAACCTTGTCATAACCTCGTGAGAACATTTCACATTATTATAAAAACGTTGCTACTGTAACGTTCAAGAAAGTACTAATTTGAGATCTGTTAGCAATATTGTTAATTTTACGTCAATACAATATTGGTAAAATTATATTGTACCTATGTTTCAAAACTTATTGTCCATTAAACTTTCTATTTTGTTATAACTAATTAACTGACCTATTGCTAAAATAGCATAGAAAAAAATAGATAATGTTCACAATAATAAACTATATCATTCATCGGAGAGTAAATATAAAAATTATTTTTAATATTTACTTATCAATAATTAATGAAACAGTTTTTCTTGCGAACATTAGCAATTTTATGTTAACAATAATACATCAGTAATATTGTTAGCAGTATAATCAACAGAAACATTAATGGGTATTAAATTGTAGACTTTCAAATAGGTACCTATAATATACTTTTTCTAATATTGTATTGACGAAAACATAAACAATATTGTTAGTTGTATGCACCCAATCCCGAAAAACTACAAAGCCAGCTAGAAGTTGTCAAATCCTTCAGCTCGGCAATCAAGATGGAAAAGAGACTAGAAAAATGTTCAGTAATGCATGTAAAAAAAGGAGTGGTAAACCACGAGCTGAGCACCGTACTGATGGATGGAACAACATTCAAAGCAATAAAACAGGAGGAAGGGTATAAATATCTCGGTTTTCACCAATCACTGGGTATCAGCCAAAAGGATACCAAGGAACAGTTTAAGAACGAACTGATAAAACATGTCAGAATCATATTGGCATCTAAACTCACATCAAAGAATTTATTTACGGCACTAAACACCTGGACTATACCTAGTATTGTGTACTCATTTGGTGTTTTGAAATGGACCCCAACAGACCTGAGGGGCATTGACATAAAAATCAGGACCCTGTTAACAAAATATCGATACCACCACCCAAAGTCCAGTGTGAACCGCGTATATATACCCAGGTCAAGAGGCGGAAGAGGCCTTCTAAATGTAGAAAATTGCCACAATACACAAGTTCAGAAACTGAGGAACTACTTCTTGAGTAACAACTTACCGCTTCACTGTACCCTCCGAGATATTGACCCCTCTTGACTTGATGAACCCCAACAGCCCAACTCTACGAAATTGGACGGAAATGGAAGAAGAGTGGGCCAGTAAAACTCTCCATGGCAGGTATAGAGCAAATTTAAAAAATACCACAATTAGTATGCTGGATTCAAATATTTACCTAAAAGCGGGTTACCTGTTCCCAGAAACCGAAGGAAGTATACTGGCAATACAAGATCAAGTTGTCCCGACACTGAACCATAGGAAATATGTCTTGAAGGAGAGAGTTGAAAGTGATCTGTGTAGGAAATGCAAGCGTGCAGCTGAGAGCATCCAACATATAACAGCAGGGTGTTCTATTTTAGCTCCAAGGCAGTATCTGGCACGCCATGATGAAATGGGAAAAATATACCATCAAGCTATAGCACTGGGAACTGGGCTAATGCAGGAAGGAATAGAATGGTACAGGTATAACCCAAATGATATTCTAGAGAATGCTGAATATAAATTGTACTGGAACATCACAATTATTACAGATCGATCTGTCCAGCATAATCGCCCTGATATGGTGCTTTTTAAGAAGAAAGTGGAGGAAGCCACAATAATAGATTTTATAACACCATTAGACGAAAACGTCCAAAAAGCATATCTAGAAAAGAAACAAAAATACGAAGAACTAGCATATGAACTTAGACAGTTATACAAATTAAAACAAACAAAAATCTTACCTCTAGTGATATCCGTCAATGGCTTAATACATCAGCAAACTGTGCGACATACTAAAGATTTGGGACTATCGCCAAATGTTTTATCCACCGCTCAAAAAGCTGTAATTCTGGGAACTGCACGCATAGTCAGATCGTTCCTTTACGCGAACTAGAGACTGCCTTGGTTAATAACCCGGCTATCTCTCCAAGAACTCTGAAAGGTGATGAAAAAAAAATTCAAATAGGTACCTATAATATACTTTTACTAATATTTTATTGACGAAAAACATAAACAATATTGATAAAAATATGCATGTCTCTATATCCATTGACTTAGAAAAATTAAAAATCAGTAAATATATCCCTACCAAGAAAGTCGAAGTTCTCAAACAAATTGAAGAAAACAAATAAAAATTAGAAATTTATCACTTACTTGTTTCAAAAATATCAAAAATACTGTCAAGTACTGAGGACTTATTGATTTTTTCGGCTGCTCATTAAATAAGGAATTACTCAACTTTGATCTCTGAGTCGAGTTGACCTCTGAGTCAAAGTTGAATGTCTGAAATAATACAAAATATATAGGTACATTATAAACATTATTATATATTTTTTATTCAAAAATAAAAACGGAAAGTATAACTTTAAGTATATGTACAAGGAAAAGCAAACTTATATTTTAATTAATTTTTTGGATCTTTCATATTTTGTCTTCGCATGTTGCATTGACTTGTTCACAGTTTCAAATTCCCCTTCGGTAAAGTTTTGACATCTATATCCAATCATTTCTAAGGTAGTAAAAATAAAAACAATCAGTTTTAATAAATAAAATAATGAGAAACTTACCTCTTGTACGGTAATCTTTGAGGCCCCTTTATGTCCTTATTTTAAAAATCTCAAATGATAACATTAAAAAATATTATTGAGAATAATAATTAATACTGAATATTATTTGTGATTTTATCATTAGATTGATAATATAATGATATATTTGTATCCTGGTTTTATCTACTTCAATCTTCAGTTGGCTAAAAGCTAACCTAAAACATAAAATCTAGCTTAAAAATAAACTAAACAAAATTTGCTATAGATACTTATTTATGGCTTAACATTATTAAAACATACATATATTTACATTCATTAAAATCTCATTCGAAAAGCATAAAACGTGATACCAAAAACGTAAAAAAAAACAAGTCCGTTAACCTAACCTAACTTATACCATTTGATCGAAAAAAGCGTCAGCGATGGCTATGAAAAGAAAATCGCTGTCATTTTATATGTCAAATTATATGGGGAAATGTCATCGATATTCATTTCCAAGCCAACTAGACGCCGTTTTTTTATCTTATGGTGTATTTGTTATATTATTAATTATTATTAACTTGCGCGGATCCTTCATTTGAATCTTTGCAATGTTGCAGAAAAACGTTTTAATCATCGTTCAAAAACAATGTTTCTCTAGCAAGATTACATCAATCACGACATAACGTTTAGAAATCAACATTACAATGCAAACTGTTTGGGGATTGACTGCAATGTTGCAAATGTAATGTTTTTGGCTTGGTGGGTATGTTTTTGATTATACTTGTACTCATAATTACTAGAACAAAAAAATAAATTGACTTTCCAGGGGTAGAAAGAAACTTAGTAGGTTGAGAAAGAAAGTAGGTTTTTAAGAAACACCAATTAAAATAAAGTGTTTAAGACCTACTACACATTTTTAACTGTGCACGAAGTTGTTCCATATTCTCAAATTCAATTTATTTCCAACAATTTAAAATTGTTTGACCTAACAACGGCCGTAAATTTATGGTGCGGCAGTAGATACACCTTATAACCGGCACAACTTAATTTAAAATTGCTATATGAGGTGCAAAAATTTTCCGGTTTGTGGCAATAAACATGTCGATATTGTTGGGTTGGTTATATTAGCTATTTTACGCTGTAATAAAAACATCGTAAATACTTTTCTTCGACAGTTTTTTACAATTCAGTAACATAGTTAGAGATTTATTTACACGACTATTTAGTTACTGATGATTAGCGTACCGTCATAATTGTAAAAAAACTGACTAGTATGAAAAATGGACTTTAAATTTTCATGTATTTTAAAGATAAATACATTATGTTCTAGTATGTCGATGTTGATGATTTTTTTTATGCAATTTATAGTTAATTTATTTGACTTTTTATTCCCTTTCCAAAACAAAAATTGAAGTCCCTATCGAGTTATCAATTGTACGAGGTAAAAAATGCTATTATTTTTACGAAAATATATACAGGGTCGCTGATATGTATGGGAACGGTCGATTATTAGGTAAAATATAAGGGGTACCGCTAAAGTTAAATATAAAAGTTATAGGGTTTTTCAAGTATTATATAGTGGGTAATAGATTAAAGTATACAGGGTCGGTTATAAAGTCGTGGTACAACAAAGTTTCATTTTTTTAAATTGAACCCCCAGTATATTATTGCATATTTCAGTTCTTCCTTCAATTCTAAGCAAAAATTGAAATACACACAATGTACCTCAAACCAATCGTTTGCGAGTTATTGACTTTTAAAAATATCACTTAAACAATATAAATGGTAACTTGAAAACTAATGTCAAATATTTGCGCAGATTGGCATCGTTAAATGAAACCGAACATATCGAAATTAATTAAATAGAATATTTTAAGTGATATTTTCAAAAGTCAATAACTCGAAAACGGTTGGTTTGAGGTACATAGTGTGTATCTCGATTTTTGCTTAGAATTGAAGAAAGAACCGAAATGTTCAATAATATACAGGGTGTTGTACTTTTTGCGGTGCCTCTTATATTTTACCTAATAATCAGCCCTTCCCATACATATCAGCGACCCTGTATGTAACATTCCATTGAATAGTTTAAAGTAAGCAAACGAAAGTAGTGGAATATCAAAGTAATAAATATTAAAGCCCCTACTTTACTTTTTTATTTATTTTATTTTTCGCGAGAAAAACCTCATATTCTGGGGTTGAAATATAAGTAAGGAAAAATATTTGCACTTATTTAAAACTCATCCTGTATAATCTCCTACATAACATTACAACGCAACATAGCTTTCAAAAAAGTTTTGAAGTAAATGGTTTTACTAAATTGACATTTATTTTCAGGAACGCGCTTTGAGGTACATTGACACACTACCAAACGAGTTGGATGTTGGAGTGGGTGTCAAAATCAAATCAAATGGTCGAGTGTCCAAAAGAATGCAAAGAGAGGCTTTGCCGGATGAACCGAAAGCAAGGGAAAGTGCCGTGGAGAATATCCTTTGGGATCGCATCTCCGATTACCTTAGCACTCATGTGATCGAGCTGAAGATGCCTTCTAATACAGTTCACGATATGAAGAAGTCTGTGGAAGAAGGTAAAAAACTATTAATTTTCTTAAAAAAGTTTTTCTAGTTATAATTTAGCTGTTTGATAATCCTACTTTAATCAACCTAATACAACTAATAAAAACAGCAATATTTATGAAATAATGTTGCTGTCATTTGGTATCTTTAATTGTTTTCAAGAAGGTTTGGAGAAACATAGGGCTAAAGTGACATTGGTATTTTTGTACCTTTAGCAGCTAACGGTTGTTTACACGATGAACATGAATTGTCATATTGTTTATTTATTATTTGATTAAAAAAATACGAATTTAAAATATTATTCAAGTAGATATTTAATAGAAATATTCGAACATTCTTAACAGTCTTCGAATATCTCTTCTTTATTCGAAATACAGGGTGGTCCGAACTGTATTCCGGAAATTTCGGCAGCATATTCTACAGATAAAAATATGTAAAAAAGTTCATATAAATGTATGTCCTAAAATGCTTAATTTCGGAGATACAGGGTGTAGATGTTTTATTTTTATTCTGATTTTTTCCAAATAACTTCTAAATTAACGTCAATATTTGGATGAAAATTGGCGACGGAGTGTTTTTTGACATGAGAAATTTGATTTTGATATCAATATGACTCCTATTTTTTAGGGGGCGTCACCTACATATGTTTTAACTGTTCTGAAGAGCAATAACTTTTCGTCCATACCTGTATAAAACTACTGAGTGAAAAAATATACATTTCCGTGATTTTTTACGTAAAAAATGACTCTTAGTTAAGATCGCTACAAGCAACCGTTCTCAAAATATTTAGAATGGAAATAGTCAATACATGTCATTATTGACAAAAAATAAACATGTTGATTAGGTAGATAGAGAAGGCTGAAATTTGGAAAATTTTTATTTTTTTAAATTAATGATAAATGTTTCTTCGAAAAAATGATGATAAAACAAATTCTGTTGGACTTTGGGTAAAACTTTCCAAATTTATGATTTCAGTCTAAGTCGATGTTTAATTTATGTCAATGATGACAGGTGTTGATATTTTCGATTCTAAATATCTCGAGGACCATTACACGTAGCGATTTTTACCAAGATACCTATTTACGTAAAAAATGTCGTAAATGTATATTTTTTTATACAGTTATATATTAGTAGTAAATACATATATATTTAGATTAGTTCTATACAGGTACCGGCGGAAAGTTATTACTCTTCAAACTAGTTAAAAAATATGTAGGTGGCGCCCTCGGTGGCGCCCTCTACAAGTAGTAGTCATATTGACATTAAAATCAAATTTATCATGTCAAAAAACTCCCCGATACCAATTTTTATCCAAATATTGACATTACTTCAGAAAATATTTGGAAAAAATCGAAATAAAAATGAAACTTCTACAACCACTAGCTCCGGAACTAAGGATTTTAGACCGGTGTGAACTTGGCAGCCGCGAATTGGCAGCAAAATAGCCGAGAGATCCCGAACGCAAAATTGTATCTGAGGTGGAGTTTTCGCACATGCGGAATATTATATATGACGTTATTGTGTCAATCTATTATAGCCCTTGGAATATATCCAACAGAAGGGTTTAATTTGAATAATATTGGAAACACATCTTAAAATTAATGAGAAGTATATTCAAGGGTACCTACATTAACACAATATTTGAAATAATCATAGAATTATTCCGATTCATTTCAAAAAGGCCAAAAAAGTACACACCTCTAAATTAACGTGTTTCGTGCGACTGATATCGTTCTATATTGGAATGTATACAATTTACTTCCAAACCCTTGAATTAAAAAAAAAGTAATTACGTATTCCGACTTAATTTGAGAAGAATACACCTCTAAATTTTGTGTATTAAAACGAATATTTATGCTTTTCATACTTCCGTTTTCAAATTTACTTGCAAACCCTTACGGGGGTAGTTAAAGGGTTAAATTTAAAAAAATCTAACTACGCATTCCGACTTAATTTGAGAAAAATACACCCCTGAATTTTGTGTATTAAAAGGAATATTTATGCTTTTCATACTTCCGTTTTCAAATTTACTTGCAAACCTTTACAGGGGTAGTTAAACGGTTAAATTTAAAAAAATCTAACTACGCATTCCCACTTAATTTGAGAAGAATACACCTCTGAATTTTGTGTATTAAAAGGAATATTTATGCTTTTCATACTTCCGTTTTCAAATTTACTTGCAAACCCGTACGAGGGTAGTTAAAGGGTTAAATTTAAAAAATCTAATTACGCATTCCGACTTAATTTGAGTAGAATACACCTCTAAATTTTGTGTATTAAAAGGAATATTTATGCCTTTCATACTTCCGTTTTCAAATTTACTTGCAAACCCTTACGGGGGTAGTTAAAGGGTTAAATTTAAAAAAATCTAACTACGCATTCCGACTTAATTTGAGATGAATACACCTCTAAATTTTGTGTATTAAAAGGAATATTTATGCTTTTCATACTTCCGTTTTCAAATTTACTTGCAAACCCGTACGAGGGTAGTTAAAGGGTTAAATTTAAAAAAATCTAATTACGCATCCCGACTTAATTTGAGAAGAATACACCTCTAAATTTTGTGTATTAAAAGGAATATTTATGCTTTTCATACTTCCGTTTTCAAATTTACTTGCAAACCCGTACGGAGGTAGTTAAAGGGTTAAATTTAAAAAAAATCTAATTACGCATTCCGACTTAATTTGAGAAGATCACACCTCTAAATTTTGTGTATTAAAAGGAATATGTATGCTTTTCATTCTTCCGTTTTCAAACTTACTTGCAAACCCGTACGAGGGTAGTTAATTATAACATTTGAGGGTAGTTAAATTTGACGGTAGTTTGCAAGTAAGTTTGAAAGCGAAAGTGTGTAAAGCATACAAATTCCTTTTAATACACATAATTTAGAGGGGTATTCTTCTCAAATTAAGTCGGAATATGAAATTAGATTTTTTTTAAATTTAACCTTATAACTACCCCCGTACGTTTTTGCAAGTATAATTTTACAGCGGGGGTACGGAAAACTACGGTACGTACACAGCATTTTGATGTGTGCACTTTTCAGATAAAGTATGAATACAAAATATTTTTTTTAATTTACCCCCATTACTACCCTCGCAAGGATTTGCAAGAAAATTTGAATACGAGGGGTTTCGAAAAGGTATAATTTCTCTTTAGTATATTAAATTTAAAGGTGTTTACTGAAAAAATAAAAATAATTATCTGATTGCTTCTAATATTATGTTAATGTTTTACCTTTGCAAATGTTTATCATTAATTTTAAGAACTGTTACAAATATTATTCGGCTACTATACAAACTAAACCCTTTTGTTGATTTGGTTCAGTTTGGTTTATTTTTTTTATATTCTAAGGGTTAATAAATTGACAAAATACCTTAGTATATATAATATTTCGTATGTGCGAAAACTCTACCTGAGATACGATTTCGCATTCGGGAACTCTCGGCTCTTTGGCTGCCAACTTGTGGCTGCTAAGTTCACACCGGTGGATTTTAGGACATACATTTGTACGAACTTTTTTACTTAATTTTATCTGCCGAAGTTTCCGGAATACAGTTTGGACCACCCTGTATACACTCAGAGGCAAAAAAAAACGGAACGGAGAAATATTTGTTCAAATTTAAAGTGTTATATTTTTATTATTTTATCCCTGTTTTCGTGATTTTTTTAGTAAGCAGTATGTAATTATATCAACTTTAATTCGTAAACGAAGTTTCTTATAAACTTTAGTATTTGGTATATTATACAGGGTTAATCGAGGGGTTGTTTTGTTACCCTAACTTTAAAACACCCGATGGACCACACCATCCATTATTTCAACTCTTTGAGTATGTTTTTTTTGTTTATTAGGTCGTACGTTTAGAGGACGATTTTTTTCTATGATTTCCAACTCACAAGGTATCTGATCCATTGTTACGATTTTCCCGATATTGTTTTTGTTGTTATGACAGTTCTTACTGTAGTCTAAGACTTAATAATGGTTATCTATTTCCCTGAAGATGAAAGAAAAGGACTGAACATCTCGGTCCCATACATTTATATTAAAACTGGTCTGTTACACGTGTTTGTGGACTTTGTGTTGTTGTCTAAAAATATTCTTGTTTTTGTTAATACACTTAAATAATGACTAAAAAGTTGATATGTATCTCGCTGGTATTAAATACCGTATGACGTAAACGTATTTTTTTGAGATAAATGAAAATGTTAATCATGGTCAGATGAATTATGCATATATTAGAGCATCAAGTTACTGACTGATAAAAATATCAGTTATCACAATTAAAAAATTGTTTAAAGTTTATTTATTTTCGTAATTTTAAATTTGATGCGAATAGACTTATCAAATTTCATACCACAAGATGTTTCGGGATTACCGAATAATACTTTTACCTGACACGAAATGCGTTAGGTACCCGGCAACACTACGATTCCGAAGGAGGAGTAGTGTTGCCGGTATCGCATTGAGTGTCACGTAAAAGTATTAGTCTAAGAGCTAGCAACGTTTTCGAGAAAGTATTTCAAGACGTCAGGCTCTTTGATATATCTTTTATTATGCTCTCTGGAACAGCGTGCAGGCCGTCTGGCTGCCGATACACGTTGCGTTCACTACTGCGCATCCAAAGAAGATCCTCTATTTTTTACTTAGCGCTTTAAATTCTAGTATTGAATAAAAACCGAGCAAGTCTCCATTAGCTCGGCGCGTAGAGCTTTTGCCTATGAAGCGAAGGTTAGTGGTTCGATTCCGGCTGGAGCTGCAACTTTTTTATTTTTTTTTTCGTTTATATTCTGATAGTAAAGTATTAAATATTTGCTTTTTTATCACCAGAACGGATAGCGTTTATGGGTTTATGATCCGTAGTGTATATAAGTAGAATTTGATACTTTCATTTGTTTTGAAGGATTATTGTGGTAATTAATTATTAGATAGGTTTAGGATGGTCTGGCTGCCGCACCGGTAGGTGGCGTTCACTACTGCGCATGGGTACAGGGTGTCTCATTTTCGTACGTT